TGCCCAGACTGATGCATGTGGTCCGCGTAATGGTGCAGGCAGGTGATGTGGACGCAGTCAAGACAGATGAACGTCATGTGCTGTTCTGCGACGTTACACGTGTCACAGGCGACCGGGTGGGGACCACGGCCGCCCGCCCCCACTGCCACCTCCAAAGGCAGCGGGGGCGGCTCTGCTGTTGCTGTTACTGTCCGTGCGGAAGGCGAGAAGCGACGACATGTCGGATGCGTGCGGAGTGGCGCTCTGGGCCCTGGACGGGGGCTCGCTGTGTGCGGGCGGCAGGAGATCGCTGAGCCCATCAATCCCAAACAGGTGGCAGGAGGCGGGCTCGAGCAAATCCGGTGGAGGGGAGTGCGCATGCTGGTGCAGCGACGATGTGGGGTGGTGTAAGTCGGCGCTGGCGGTTGCACGCGCCATCACATCGTCGTCGTTGATGGAGGAATTGCCCAGTGTGTTGGCCGCGTGCGCTGCTTGCACTGAGGGCTTCAGCAAATGAACGTAAGCCTTGAGCACGTTGATGGCCTTTGGCCGCTCACATGGTTGGAGATGCTGGCAGGCCATGACCGCACTGCTTTGTGCTCTTGGTCTTCTTGTCTTTTCCCTGTCTTGTGCTGCGCACGTGGTGTGTGTGTGTGTGTGTGTGTGTATGTATGTGTGTGTGTATGTATGTATGTGTGTGTGTGTGTGTGTGTGTGTGTGTATGTGTGTGTGTGTGTATGTATGTATGTGTGTGTGAAGGGGGGGTTATTGTTGTATGCGTGTGACTCCGTATGCGTGCGCAACCCAGAGTGTGTCAAGTGTGATGTATCTGTGTGCTGTTTGGTTCGTTGCAGTTTGCACGCGTGTCACACGCTCCCTCAACCAAGTGCACAAGCACTGAGAGCGCGCACGTGTGTGTGCGTGTGTGTGTGTGTGTGTGCGGTGAAGTTGCTGAAGCTGCCGCTGAGTGTGGTGGCTCGCGATTTGGGCTGCCTGGCTAACTGGAGCGACGAGCAACTCGTTGCTGCTGCTGCT